CCTTCATCTGCACCACAAAGTGCTGAAGAAACAATTCCTGAGCACGCTTACCCTGTTCCCCATTCCTGGCTATTTACAGGTCATTTCTACTGGATGAGGCCCTTCCAGTGGGAAAAGCTCCCCATTGCCTTGTGCTCCAGCTATGGCCAAACTGGGATTGATGTTGCTCAGCAATTGCCTGGGACAAAGTGGGTGGCAAAGTGCTGTGGAAAAAGGTGGTTCAACAACCTGCTCCAGGTGCGTTTCACATTTACCATTTCCTTCTGGTTCGCTCCTACCTGGCTGGAGGCTGGAAAAATAATGGAAGCAGCAGCTCAGGGTTTCAAGCAGCTCTTGCCTGTAAGGAAGCGTCCTGCTCCGGGGCACAGGAGATTCCTCAAGGGAACAGCAGCTCGTGTCTGACACCAGGGGGACCCGTCTTGTCACAGGTGCTTTGCCGGTGTCCTCCGACGTGCCCTGCAAGAGGGGGCCTCTGCAATCTCTGCTGTCATTTCTATGCCTCTCGGTGATTGCTGGAGATAATTTTAATGTAGCAAATTTATGGGCTAAACGTGAGCTCCTCACAGGAGAAATGCTTCTCGGTTGCCTGCATGATCCTGGCGTATTGGACCTATGTGTTGTGGGACTGTTGTGCTGCCAGCTGGATATGGAGCAGGGATAAATGCGTGCAGTTTATCAGACTTAAAATCTGGGTGGGGTGGGAAACAGACTGTTCCAGTGGCAGCTGCAGTTGGGAAGTGGATTACATCCCCTGTATAGTGAAACAGCACTGCCAAAGCCCTTGCTTGCATTCTCTATCCCATTCACTAACCTCTGTCTTCAGGGGTACAAAGTTCATGTGCTCCTTCCTGCTGATTGAAATGGCTAGAAATGTGGTAAATGCAAACTGTTCTTCAAAAGCAAACCATTTTCCTCGTCCAATGGGAGCTATTTCACAGTATTTCTTTAGGGAGAGGAATGAAAAATGCAATATGTTAACATTTTTGTGTTGCTTATTAGTGTAATGAGCAAAATCAGACAGGAACAGTTGATTAATTTTTTAATTATTTTTTTTCCATATTGAAAACAACCTTTTAAACACTGGCCCTGTAAAACAAAGATCTTGATGTTTGGGTGTGTATGGTGAAAACCAAGCTCTTACAGTGGCTACCAAGTAAATTAGGAAGTGCTGCTTACAAGTGGCAGCAGAATTATTGCTAACTTCAACAGAAACTATGTGTTTGTGGTTAAGTGTAAGACCAATTTTTAGTAGTTAGAAATTGTTCTCAATTTTTGCTTTGATTACTGAACTTGAATTTAAAAATAATAACTCTGGATGACACAGATTTTCATTAGAGTTTCAGGTGTCCTACAGAGTTAAGAAACTGAAGTGCAAACAGTAAAACTTTGAGCAGGACTAGGACTAGGACTTTCTTAATACAGAAAATATTTCATTCAGTGGCTATTTTAGAAGTGGTGTGTTAATGGCCTTTGGCAAACGTGCACCAAGCTTGGGCTATAACTACAGAGGAAAGACATTACCAGATGGGACCAGAAAAAGCAACAGTGGGTAGAGATAATGCAACTTTGGATTTTCTTTGAAAAATTCTCATTTCTTTTTTAGTGATAGCAAAGCTTGAGGTTTGCATGGATCAGACTTGTTCCCTTGTTGTCCTGCTATGACAAGGGCCTTGTATGACTCACAGGATCTCAGTGAGGGACCTCACAAAGGTTACTGAGACAAAATGGAAATGACAGAACTTAACCCATAACTCATTAATTCATTAATAGTTTCTTTATGAAGAATGTCATTAAAACTTCAGACTACCCTGGGCCAGGACTTCAAATCCACTCCCACCAAATGCTGAATCCAAAGAAAACATGTGGGTAGTGACCGGCTCCTTCTGATGCCAGTGTTGAAAATGACACCTTTCATTCCTGAGCAATTTCCTAGGCCAATGTGGTGCTTTGATTGGCTGTACTTCAAATCATTTTGTACAAGTTTATTATTAACAAAACCCAAGAATCCAGAGTGGCTAAAAAAAAACAAAAAGAAAAAAAAAAAAGTAAATAAGTAAATCCTATTGTTTTGGAACTGTGTTGTAAAATTTGAATGAGATGCATTCACAGTGGCACCTAAAAAAGTATTCATGTCCATGTATCTCACTGCAGTTCAGATAAATATGCATCTTGTTCATTCTATTTTTAAGTAGAACATGAAATATAGTCATGAACCTGCCAAGGAAACTTGGATTTAGTTCCTCAAACTTAACCCAGCCGGGAAAAGATTTATGTAAGTGTCAGTGTGATTCTCAAACAGGAAAAAAAAGTTGATAATAATGAAGAATTATGATGCAACGATAGCTCATCACCCCTCAAAACCCCAAAGACCAACACCCGTCCCCAAAAGCCAGAGATTTCCTCACCTCCTTTTTGCACAACCAAATCCTATTCAATGGATGGATACAACAAGTGTGTGTGCATTTCCATGTGTAAATTGTGACTTGCTAAGTAAGCAAGAGTCTGTCCTTAATTTATGGCAGATGAAAAAGTTTTATGCCATACTGAGGGAGTGGTTTACTTTCTCATGGGTAATGGGTAGGAACTGGATGTTGCTGGTCCTCAGGGATGTGTAGATCCAATCTAAGGATAAATGTATCATTAGTGCTGTACATAGAAAAGCTTTGCAGGTCGTAAACTAACCAGGCAGTTTCCTGCTGCAGAGGTTTTGAAAGAGAAGTTGTATCTTTAAATAAGGGCTACAGTTAATTGAAAATCCAATTCTTAGAGACATCAATGGGCTTTCCTTCAGGCTTGAATGGTGCAGTGCAGCAAAGGGCAGCAATGGCTTTGTCAGCTTGCAGCTGAGCCCAGCCCTGGTAAAGTTGGCTACTTGATGCTCTCAGAGCACAGGTATGTCCCATGGAGGCTGAAGTTTTTTAAGGAACAATTAAAAGACTACTCTTCCTGTGAATACAAACAAAGTGAAAATGGTGATTTTGGTTTTCACTTGGTTTTTCAAAGATTTATTGCAGCTCCTGTAAGGAGGAACCTGCATAAACTAGCGGTTTGTTGCCTAGAAACGCCCTGAAGTTTTTAATCTCATGCAAATGCTCACATATTGAGCAATAAAACCATGAAAATAAATGGCAAACATAATAGCTTGCAAATATATGGCGGAAAACTTGACAATGTTATGCTGGCAATCCTTGGAAGTATTCCATTGCACTGTGTGGCAGAGAAGACAGGAGTGCAGGTTTTTGGGAGGGGCCCTTGACTTGGAAGTGAAGGTTTTTTGCAGCTTGCAGAGGACCCAGGGCTGTCGAGGCAGTCTGACTCACGGTAGCAAGTTTGCCCTGCCAGAGGGAGATGCATCTGGAAGGAGAGGGATGCTTTGCGCTGGTGATGGGTAGGATTGCTGGGGAGCCACTGGGTCAAAGAAGCAAAAACATCTCCTTTTCTGGAGAGCTGGCATCAAGCTCTGGACTTCCACCTTTCATTCTGAAGACAGCACATGGATCATATTTAAAGGTGCATTTTACTCTTCCCACTCAGTAACTCACCATTGTCTGGAAAATCAAAGGGAAGTTAAATAAACCAAGCGCGATTGCATTGCTCAGTTTGGCAATCCACTGTCTTCAGGCTGACTTCATGCAGATAACTTCTTGTTTAGTCTCAGAGCCTTCCTCTTTCTTTCTGCACATCTTGGCATTTCTTTAAAAAACATTGTAAAAATACCATTTCTTAAAATACCACTTTCTTGGGTGTAGGGATAAACAAAGTTGTACTTGATTAGGCAGACTGCATTTCGAAAAATAATTTAATTTCAAGTGGCACTCATGCTACACTTAATCTTAGACAGCAAGTGTGGAGTCTGGAAGTGCACTTATAGCTGAAAATTACAAAATTGAGCATAGAGAATATATTTCCACCAAATACAAAGAGTTTATGAAAATGTGGTTTGGTTGGGGTTTTTTTTACTGTAGATTGTGATGAGTGTTCAGTAGCAAAAAATGGAATATTTGTATAATTATTGCCATTGGAAAATCACTCAATGGACACACACTCTCCACATTTTCTAGGAAACAAGGCACTAAGGTCCACAAAGAAAGGCCCTACTCCTCCCCCTGACAGTCTGAAACAACTTCTTTTTGTCTTAGTTCAGAGGTGAATGTTTCTTCAGATTTGACATATTACCAGTTCCATCAGTGTACAGAAACAGGGTTCCACTGTCACGGACTTGTTTTGTGAGATCGGTCCTTGATTTTTCCTTGTAAGGTGATCTCAGCTTCATTATTGGCAACACTCCTTTTTTCCACTCAGCTAACTCTAGTCCACAGTGCCAACAAAGTCTCCTTTGCTTTTGCAGCAGATGATGACAGGGATGCCCAGGTAAAGGGGCATCAGTTGTCTGATGGACATTTTGCATCCCCAGTGCATTGTTACTGCATGAGTAAAAAGATGTTTGGAGGCTGTGGAGTGCACATGGGAAATGTGTCCTCTGGGATACATTAAGCCTGGGTACAGCTGCAGTTTTCCCTGGGAAAATCAGCTGTGGTGGGAAAGGCCCCAGAGCTTGAGGAAGGTTGTAGTAAGCAGCGTGGGAAAGTGGTTATTTTGTCCCCAAAGCCATTGTCTGTGACAGTGTAGACACGGTGTTTACAACATGTGGCAAGCAGGGCATGGCTGCGAGACAGGGACTTACCATGCTCAGCCTGACTGTATTTGGACCAAGCACAGGGATATCCAAACCCATCCTTCTAGTTCCCATTGTTCCAGAGGGTGCTGATGTCCACTGGTCAGAGTCCTTGGGGATTGCTGAGTGAAGAGCTCTACTGAGCCCTGGCATTTGGCTGAGGCCAAGCCCATGGAAATTGGGAGATACACCCACTGGTATATCTCTAATCCTACCGGATGGGTTGGAGATCCTTGGTCTGATTATTGCATGTTATAAACACAGGGAGTGAATAGGTGACACTAAACACATGTTCAGAAATAACTCTTTTTTTTTTAAAGGGTGGGATTTTATTACATATGAAAGCACAGTTAAAACATTTATTATAATCAATAACCACAAAATCACTTCCTTATGGAGATACAGCATCAAAAATACACCCTTTTTCAATCAAAGATAGTAAAATTTTTCCTAAAAGTCAGTCACCATTCATTAAAGGGATTTCCCTTAAAAAAATGAGTTTAGGTCTATTTACATTAGTATCACATGCACGTGTACTGAAATACATACAAGTTCCAGTGGTGGAACTGTTCAAAAGGCTCCCTATCCTTAAATTCTTCTCCAGCTCCTTTTCTAGGCACAGAGTGCTCCTTTTGTTTCTACTTTCCCTCTTCTTTGCTCTTGATTCCATTCCATGTCCAACACTGACATATCGTATTGCTTTTGTTTTTTAAATCTTTACTGTTTTATAATATTTAATGCTTAACTAGAGGCATGTCAGTAATTCAGTGCAGCCACTAAGGCTCTTCACGAGGGTAAATGCAACCCCTCAGTGGTTGCTATCCCTGCAGGAGACACATATTGATACATTTCTCCTTCTGAGACCCTTTTAGACAAAGACAGAGCCATCCTGGTCGCTGGTGTTCAGGGTTATGTTGCTGTTCCCCACACTTTCTGCATAACTAACTGAATGAGGGACCTGGTAGTGACTGCAGGGCCCACAGAAACACTGGAATGGACAGCACTTCAAGCAGACATGATAAAGGTATTTCCTGAATCTTTCCCCAGCAAAGGCATAGATAAAAGGATTGAGACAACAGTGACTGAATGCAATGGTTTCAGCCAGGTGCATTGCATAGTCCAATGACTTAATTTGGTTGCAATCTGTGAATAACTCATAGTGATTTAAAGTATCTAGAAAAATCAATACATTGTAGGGGGACCAAAAAAGAAAAAACACCACCACCACAACCAAGATCAGTTTTATGGCTCGTGCCTTTTTCTGATTTTTGCAGGACAGGAGGGTTTTGATGATCCCACAGTAGCAATAGAATATGATACAGACTGGGATGAAAAAGCCGATGGTGTTCAGCTCCATATTGCACAACACTGGCCAGATGTTCTCCAGCTTCTCTGGGAAGACAGGAATGCAGTCATTTTCTACGAGCTGGGAGAACACAAAATGTGGCACTGACACTAAAACCGCTATTGCCCACACTCCACAGGTTACAAGAAAGCCGTGCCTTACTGTTCTGGATTTCAGAGAATAAGTTGCCCGGACAATGGCCAAGTACCTGTCAACGCTGATAACAGTGATAAAGAACATGCCCCCAAAGAAACCAATGTAATACAGTGAGGAAACAGCTGTACATGTCATAGTCCCAAGGGTCCACCCACGGACCCTGTTGGACGCCCAGAACGGGAGGGAGATCACAAAGAGAAGGTCAGAGACAGCCAAGTTCAGGAGATAGATGTCGGTGACGCTTTTTTTATTGCCTTTCACAATGGCAAAAACCACCATTAGATTCCCTGTGAGGCCAAGAGCAAACACCACAAGGTAAAATATCGGCAGAAATATTTTCCCAAACTCTTGGATGTCGGTTTTGTTGCAGGAGAAAGCATGTTCATCATAAGCGTATTCAGCTGTGGTTTCTGCGTATGCTTCTGTCATGCTGAATTTTCTGGCTAGAGGCAAAATGGAAAGAGTAAAGAAAATAACATTAGAGTGATCTTATATGCACTATGGCAAAGTACTGAGGGATAGCACCAAGCATGTTTTAGGATTTTGTCACTATTTATTTTAGTGAGGGTTGTATTACTGTGGAGCTGATGGTGGTTACGTTATGACAAAAGCCCAGACCCTGCTGTTACAGGTACTTCACTGAAAATTAACTCTTTAGGATAAGGAAAAAAAAAAAGAGAATTTCAAGGGCTGTCACATAAGCCTCTACTTACTGAAGTGCAGCAGGAGCAGCAGCAAGCTGAGATCTGGCTGAGCTGTGCATGTGGTGCATGGCAGCACCACGAGCAGTGCAGGCGCTCTGTCAGTCTGTGGGCAGTGCTTGGCAGGAAATGATAGTTCACAAATAGATGTTGAGCAGATTTGGTCAACACCCCAAAAGCCCCATCTCCACCTCTCACTAACCCTGGGCTGGAAAGGTGGCAAGACACCCAATTTGGCCAGGCCTGAGCTGATGCTTGCTGATAAGAGGGGAGCAAGTCTGCGCTGGGACATTGCAAGCAGAAAGTGTATCATTGATGAGGCTTTTCTAAAAATCATCCTATGATCTAAAGAAAATATATTGACCCTTTTCCTCAAGCAACAAAGCATCTCATGACTGCTCCTGCTCTGGCTGTGAGGCTGGAGCCAGGAATTCACCTTGGCTGAATCCAAAGAGAGGATGGGGTGCAGGTGTGTGACCTCTGGGCTCACTGGTCTGCACACCCAAAAACCCAGAGCATCTGTCAGCTCATCTACTCTACTTTGGGATGTGGTGTTCAAGTCTCCGCAAAGATTTCAGTTTGCAAGGAATGAAAAATCCTATAGGAGTGCAGAGGTTGCTGTATTCTGTCTGCTTCCTGGCTGGGTAAAGAGCTTGTAAGTATCCATTACTTGCTCTCACTGTAGGAGATGAAAGAAAGTGAGTGCAGAAGCCCAGGGAGATGATAACATCTCCCAAGTATGATAACATGGCCAAATCAGCCTGTTAAAGCTGAGACTGAGAGAAAAGGTCAGTGATAACCAAACTGCCACTAACAGCTACCAGCTATCTTCTTACAGGGATCCCTCGCTGCCTGTACAGAAGGGACTCGGTTCAGTGACCATAGGCTGTCTCTGATAGAGATGTTTACACCTCCTGTTAAGGGGAGATACAGTCAGTACAGTCGACAAAGAGGGTGCATCACATCCAATGCAGGTCAGGCCAAATTTGCTTTAAGAGAGGACAGACTGCTTTCCAGACTGCTGACCACACTGATGAAAACTTCTTTTCCCAAATATAAGGTGAGCATGGATACACTGCTCAGTGGTAGGTGCCGATGGTGTATAGCCACTCTGACTCCTGACACTTACAGCTAAGTGATTGGAATCCCAGCCTGCAGACCCACATTTCACCAACAGCAGTAGTTTTTACACCTTCTGTTTCAAATAAGCCATTCAAGATTAAACATGAAATAAAGATGTCCTCAGGTGTGAGACAGTTTTCTATGACATGGTGGTAACTTCAACAATATTCCCCATGAGCAGCTACTGTGACCATACCAACATTTTCTCCTAATGCCTCATTGCTAGAGCGTCATTTTTTGGTGTAGGCTGTGAAGTTCTGGCCTATTATTTTGTAGCAATATCTTAAAGAGGGTACATTTTTGTGCTAGTTGGAAATGCAGGCTCTCAATTTTAAAAATATTTTTTTAATCTGAATGTTCAAACCCTAATGATTAGTGCCTGCAGACTCTAGAAAACATCTTTGTGGTTTGCACAGGAAAAGTGGGCTAGAAAAGGCTGCCTCAGCACTGGTAGCTCTGGGGCATGGGCACAGTATGGGGAAAGCTGTTTGCAGCAGGCAGGCACACCCATGGGCAGAGTGGCTCTTGCAGTATCAGTCCACTTGAAATGGGAGCAAAGTCTGCCTTCAGTCTGTTCAGCCCCTGCCTGTCAGGCCACTTCAATTCTCCAGCCTCTGGAACGGAGGTATCTGACACCAGCAGAGTTAAGGGTACAAACAGGAAAAGCTTAGGTGCTGGGGCAGAAGCTGACGGCAATTGCAAACAAGACACTTTCCACTGGTGAGGTAAATAAAGAGTTGCCATCTCTTTATCTGCCCTGTTGAGTGATACAGAGGTGAGCAGGAGACATATAATCTCAATAACCTATCATTTTCTGCTGTCCCATCCCGATTTCTTTCTTTCTTTCTGAGACTAAATGTATGCAGCAAAAGCATCAGGATACACCAAGTCTCCTGTCCTGAATATATGTCACTCTGTCAGTCCCCCCAGCTCCTTTGCCACTGAGGTGTTACTGCACCCATCTGTGCAGCGCCGGAGCCTCCGCCTTTCTCTGTGGGCTCAGCTGGTTCTTCACTGATGCAGCAGTAGCTGAGGGCTGCACAAGTGACTGACTGGGGCAGGAGCACCTGGCCTATGAGAAGACATTGGGTTTGGTCAGCCTCAACAAGAGATGTCTCAAGAGGGATTTTGGGAGAAGGTGTAAAGGTGAAGCAGACAACTTTCCTTGGGGGAATATATAGCAATAGCAATGGGAAATCACTGCTTAATGTATTGAAAACAAATTTTTGTCATGATGGTGGTCGAACACCAGGACAGGGCTCCTGGGAGGTTGTGGGATATAATCCCTTGTGATACTTGAAACTCAGCTGGCCCTGCTCTGCTCATGGGTTTTGACAAGAGACCTCCAGAAGTCCTGTCCTATCCTTGTGACTGTGGCAATGCCAGACATAGATCATGCTGTTTCTGCAAAGTGTCCCAGCTTCTCCTCTGCCACGTCAGCTCCTGTTTCAGACATGTAATTCCTGGTGTGACAGCCAAAAGTCTCATCAGACAAAGAGGAAAAAAACTGATGGAAGCTTGCTCGTATCCTCCCCCTTAACACCTTTGCTAATTGTGCCGTCATCCAGAGAGGGCTGTTTTGTGGTGCTTGCCTTGACTGTCTGTGCTGTGTGAAATCCCTGTTCTGGAGAGAGAGAAAAGGCACATTGCTTTACTCTCCTCTCTAAGAACCTCAAGCTATGCTGGTTTTTAACAAGCTTCCTCCCTTAATTCATATCTAGAAAGGCAGCTTGTCTGTCTGGAGAGTTTCCATATGTGTCCATAGAAGTCACTGTGCTCTGTTGGACACAGGATGTCAGACATATAAGGAAATGCAGCTCCCACCAGGGGTTAGCCCTCAGGTCTGGCAGACTTCTGCACAGACTTCTGAACTGGCATTGCCTGGAGAGAAACCTGGGTGTGGGAATGGCTGCCTTCTTCACTGGAGAACATTTACACAGAAGTGCAGGAGAAACTCCTGGCCTTAGTGAAGTACTTGCTTGTGCTGGGATATTTCCAGAAATACCTTTTCAGTCAAGTAATCTCCTATAGGTCACTGATGAGGATCATTTATTTCTACAGTAGCAAATTATTTCCTTTAGCCTTAGATGGGTGCTTGTGGGGTCTGTGTTACAACAACAAGAAAGGTAAGATTCTGTATTGCATTTCCAGGGGCAAGGAAGGAATGCACTTACCACTGGTGTTTGAATCTGCTGGCAGTCTGTGACTTGTTCACTGTCTAGTTACTGGGTTTCATATATCAGCAGTCACTCATATCCTTCCACCACCACTCATCCTGCACAGGCAATGCTGCAAATACTGTTTGAATTTTTAGCTCCTCTGATACCACTTTGCTCAGTTTAAACTGATGATACTCAGTAGGTGGGCTGCAAATTTCAAAGGGCTCCAAAAACCCAACCCATACCAGATAGGGATAATGTGTTGAAATTATATTGCTCCTTAAAGAGAGAAACTTAGATCTGACCCTCCTCCATACTTTCCTGTCATGTATTCTCTGTCTGTGTCTCAAAGTCTCCTGCAGCACATGCTACAGGTTTCTCACCATCAGCTTCAACCCAATTTTCTATTTCATGCTTGCAATAACTGTTTACCCTAAGGGACAGAGTGAATTAAAGAGTGCAGAGGACACAGGAGGACTGCAGGTCTTTGAGGTTTCTCCACCAGATATTTTCCCTTGCTGACTACAAGAAATAGTAGATTCACTTCTGCTTCTCATGGAACTGCTCGACCACTTTTCCCTCTCTCTGGATTTCCCCATCGATTTTACACCCTACTCTTCACAAACACTTCTGCTCTTAATCACGTTTGTAGCTATCTCAAGGACCATAGTCTGCAAGACCAAGACCCCTGTTTCTCAACCCAGCTATTCCCAACCACCATGTGCACCCCACATAATACACAGGGAAGTGAAATTGTGAGAGGTCTGCAAACTCCTCAAAGGAACAGAAGTTGCATTTCAATCTTCAAACAACACTGGCATCAGGCTGGGTGACACAAGAGCAAATCCTCTTTATTTATCTGATCTTTCCAGGTGTCATCCCTGGCACTTCAGCCAAGTGCCATGTTACAGGCTTTACTGCCAAAAGGAGGGAGATCTGCAAGCAATTTGCCTCCCTGTCATGCTGCTCCTACCACTAAATTAAAAGATATGAAAAAAATGACCAAAACCAGACCTCTGCCAGAGGGTCACGCTTCAGATTTGCACAATATCCCAATAAAAGTATTTCAGCCTCAGAAAGATTTTTCTCACTCTAGTCAGCATTTCTGAGTGATGCTTACACGCTTTTCTCATGCTGGCAAAACATATTTTCAGTGCACACTGAATGGCCTGATGAATCAGCTGGCCCTGGGAAGCTGTAGGCTTGGTGAGAACCCCTGCACAACCCTACAGGTGTATGTATATCCCTTTCTCACCCTCAGATCTGAGCTGCCATCACCCCACCCAAATATACATACTCTTGATTTTTTTGCATTTGCAACTACACCCACCTGCTTCTTACTAGCTGGTGATTCTCAACAAGAACATAGGGATGACCTCAGGCACCTCCAGGTGAAATGTTGCAGCTAAGGTGGCACTTCTAACACACAAAGGAACGAGACTAAAGGAAAATAACCAGAACTGGCTGAGAACTAGGAGGAGATAGCACTCTAGGCAAAACTTAACCAGCCTGACCAAACAGCTACCACAGAATCATTACAATGCTACAGACACCTCTACCCACGGTTTAGATCATACACCATCCAAAACTTACTTAATATCCTAACCAGAAATGGAGCCCAGTTGCTAGTCCTACACTCTGCTAGTTCCTGTAATTTACTCTAGTTTATTTTTCAGAGCAGGGTGGTTCCATTCATAGGCAATGGCCTCTGCAGCTGCTTGGGATCATGTTAAATAGCCAGGGTCAAAAGCAAGCCCATCCCACTAAGTGCAGTTACTTCAAATCTTAAATTTCAGCCTTTCATTCAGTCCTGAAGTGGAGAGATGTTCTCACTATTCCACCCCTACGTGCAGACCTCTGAAAGTGGGAAGCAAAGTGAAAGGGCTGATCTAACCTGACCTTTAAATCAGGCAAAATTAATTTAAATTGTTAAGGGGCAGAGTGCATCTAAGGCCAATCTGTGTGGCTTTATAGAAGAGGAGTTTTAGTTTGGGCATCTGATGGGATTGCAAGGTTGAAAAAGGAGGCTGTGTGGGTGAGTTGAAGCTCTGATTTGCACTACATGCTTATTTGGTTAACACATGTCTCCAGCCCAAATCAAGACAAATAAAGCACTGCAATATGATTTTGATTGGCTAGACATCAGATCTCAAAAGACAAACATCCATGGAGGAAGCCTTGCTGAACTGGAAATATTGCTTGTAAAGTGTCTGTGGAAATGACAAGTCGAAAGCCAAAATACTCTTTGGTGTTTTCATCATTGCTCTGAAAGCACGTTGGCAATGAGAGCTGGCAGGGGCACGTGATAAAAGGGTTACAGGCCTGGAGAGTGATTCAGACAGTCTGAGTAATCTGGCACTTCCCAGATGATTCACATTGGCCCTAATGCAGCCAGATGTAACCAAAGTGACATGCTTGGGAGTTAAACAACAGGGGCCATGTCTCAACAGCAGGGGCATATCTGAAGGAAACCTCACTGCAAGAAAAGATGATGCAACCATTGGGTGCTAAAAGAACTTCCAGATGGGAAGGAACAAAGGAGGGATGACTTTACCATTGCAGAGCTTGATACAGGGGCTGCAGGCATAATTCGGTAACACCTGATTTCACTTTTGTTTGTGTTAATAATCTTGCTAATTATTTGACTGGGATTAGCTATCTGTCAAAGTGATGCAGGGAAATTCAAACCAGAAACGTGCAAGACAGGAATATGATGAACGTTTTTAACAGTGAAAGGATAAAGACTGACAGATTTTAACAGACTTCAGGCATGAAAAGGACATTTTTGTGTGTCTGAGGGTCTTCACTTCAAGAGGAGGTATCAATCTAGGAAATGGATTTAAGCCAGACATTGTGGAGAAGGAATTCCACAATGCTCAGCAGGAGGGTGCTGGGTTATACCCTACAGCCCTTGATAGGCAGGGAGGCAAACCAGGTTGGGGTACAATTCTCTGAACAACCATGACTCTCTTTTGGTATTAAATGACCAAAAAATCAAAACTGCCCAGCACTAGTTAGCTCAAATCCTGGGATGTGACCCTTGGGAGAAAGCAGGATCCTGTGAAAACCATGGAGCAGCTGCTGGTGTTGGGTTAGCAGTGAGGCTGTCATGATGATTGTGGGAAGAAAGCAGCACAGTCTGGAGATGCTGTTATCAAATAGCCACCCTGTTGAAACCTGTGTGTTTTCCTACCTAACCAGTTCTTTTTGAATTCCTCCCTAGCCTCTGAGTGAGTGTGGAGTAATGCCATATGCTCGCTGCCCCTCCAGCTCCTCCTCAATGACCTGAGGAAATTCCTTTCTTTTGTCCATTTTTCTGTCATTTATTCTCAGATCAACTGGACTGGATCAACTGTTTTGGCCCATCAGAATTCTGCAAGCCCAGTAATTGCATTTCAATTTGGGTGATTTAATTTAATTACTGGAGGCTTCCCAGTAATTAATTCCCAGTAATTTGAGGATAAGTTTTTAAAAGCAATGTGGTGCCTTGTTATTGAATTTTCCAACTGAGGGTGAATTTGAAGGTGCAGAAGCATGATGCTGAAGCTTTCAAAGAATTAGGATTCTACAGTTTTTACACCAATATCACAAACTAAATTAGAAGCAGACACCACTAGCTGAAGATGAGAAGCATGCAAACCTACAAACTTAAACCAATGTGTTTTGGAGAAAAAATACATTTGAAAAGATCAGACTTTGATCATGGAAGGCAGGAGATAATGTAGAGTCCAAAATCCCTAGGGTCTCTCTCACCTTTGCCTAGGGCATTATAATAACTTTGGAAAGTGATTTCTCAATGCTGTTCCATGCACACCTGGAGGTAACAGCAAGTACCAATCACAGATCAAAACACATCACTTCAAAATTAGGTGTATTCATGATTTATAAAGAAAACACAAAAACATGGACTTTCTGCTGGATGTTTCTGCCAATGCCAAGGCTTTCATCACCTGTCTTTCAGAGCAGCAACCAAGGTATTATTTTTTACGAGATCTTGCCCTTGCTCCCTCAGTGCACTGGCCAGGCTGGTGGCCTCACTCCAGCTGTTTGTGCTACCACCACAGCACAGCAGGCACAGAGGACTGAACCCAGATGTCCTGGGCACATCCTGCCCTCAGCAACATCCCTCCATTTGATGGTTTCGCTGCCCCTCCAGGAAGACTTGCTGTGAGCCATTTGGAAGGGACAGCTGCACCACAGCAGTGTGTGGTTTGCTGGGGCCAAGGAAAGACCTGCCAAACCCCTGGCAGCTCACCCTCGTGGTTGCTGGTGTATTTATAGCAAAAGCTGAAGCTTTTAGTGGTTTCAACTCCTTCCCTCAGCTCTGGGGAGCACAAAGCCCCTCTGAGGCTGACAGGGTGGACATGCAGGAGCCATAAAGTGCCTGCACATTTTATGGGGTAGGGAATAGGTTCATGTTTCAGGGCATGACCAAGTCTATTGAGCACATGAAGCTGTTTCAGAAATTATTTCATGCATTTAGGAAAGATGACCTGACAGTATGACTCAGACCCTCCCCTGCATGTTAAAACTGAAGTTCAAAAATCACTGAAATGGTTCTGAAATTTGCATCCACGTCTCTCAGGGTGGTCTTGATCCTATGACCAGAGCAAGGGACCTCTGCAGAGCTTCTGCAGCCTGAGATGGTTTTCCAGCAGTGCCCTGCTCCCAGAGATCAGCCAGAGAATAGGAAATTAGGTAAATGATGAGTATTGTTGTAGAGCAGTATTTATTTTGGTCCTCACAGAGGCTGGGGAGCACTTTAACTCAGCTGCTGGGGAAGCAGTGGCGGAGCTGAGGGAGCAAGTGCCCTGTCAAGAGCTACCCCCAGGGAACTGGGTGTTTGGGGTTGTCATCTGACAATGGTGACTGGATGGTGACTGCCAGGGTCAGGTTTTTCTTGGAAAATTTATTTCAC